CACCTGACGCGCCCCTCGTTGACCCCCGCGATGCAGGCTGTCCCCACGGCCTGCTTGAGCTGCATCACGAGCCCCCCTCTGATGTCCCCCAGGATGCCGGGGGTGCCGCCCTCCTCCCGTGTCTCCTCCTCCTGCAGGTAGCGGTGCTGGGACCGGGACACCCAGAACACCGTCCCGCCCCCCGCCACTGCCGGCACCGCGTGGCGGAACAGATGACGCTTGGCCACCAGCACTCCTGGTAGGGGAGGAGGTGGTGGTGGTGAGGGGTGGTGGTGGTGTGGGACACATACATGATGGTGGTGGTCTGGGACACATACATGATGGTGGTGTGGGACACATACATGATGGTGGTGTGGGACAGATACATGATGGTGGTGTGGGACAGATACATGATGGTGGTGTGGGACAGATACATGATGGTGGTGTGGGACAGATACATGATGGTGGTGTGGGACAGATACATGATGGTGGTGTGGGACAGATACATGATGGTGGTGTGGGACAGATACATGATGGTGGTGTGGGACAGATACATGATGGTGGTGTGGGACAGATACATGATGGTGGTGTGGGACAGATACATGATGGTGGTGTGGGACAGATACATGATGGTGGTGTGGGACAGATACATGATGGTGGTGTGGGACAGATACATGATGGTGGTGTGGGACAGATACATGATGGTGGTGTGGGACAGATACATGATGGTGGTGTGGGACAGATACATGATGGTGGTGTGGGACAGATACATGATGGTGGTGTGGGACAGATACATGATGGTGGTGTGGGACAGATACATGATGGTGGTGTGGGACAGATACATGATGGTGGTGTGGGACAGATACATGATGGTGGTGTGGGACAGATACATGATGGTGGTGTGGGACAGATACATGATGGTGGTGTGGGACAGATACATGATGGTGGTGTGGGACAGATACATGATGGTGGTGTGGGACAGATACATGATGGTGGTGTGGGACAGATACATGATGGTGGTGTGGGACAGATACATGATGGTGGTGTGGGACAGATACATGATGGTGGTGTGGGACAGATACATGATGGTGGTGTGGGACAGATACATGATGGTGGTGTGGGACAGATACATGATGGTGGTGTGGGACAGATACATGATGGTGGTGTGGGACAGATACATGATGGTGGTGTGGGACAGATACATGATGGTGGTGTGGGACAGATACATGATGGTGGTGTGGGACAGATACATGATGGTGGTGTGGGACAGATACATGATGGTGGTGTGGGACAGATACATGATGGTGGTGTGGGACAGATACATGATGGTGGTGTGGGACAGATACATGATGGTGGTGTGGGACAGATACATGATGGTGGTGTGGGACAGATACATGATGGTGGTGTGGGACAGATACATGATGGTGGTGTGGGACAGATACATGATGGTGGTGTGGGACAGATACATGATGGTGGTGTGGGACAGATACATGATGGTGGTGTGGGACAGATACATGATGGTGGTGTGGGACAGATACATGATGGTGGTGTGGGACAGATACATGATGGTGGTGTGGGACAGATACATGATGGTGGTGTGGGACAGATACATGATGGTGGTGTGGGACAGATACATGATGGTGGTGTGGGACAGATACATGATGGTGGTGTGGGACAGATACATGATGGTGGTGTGGGACAGATACATGATGGTGGTGTGGGACAGATACATGATGGTGGTGTGGGACAGATACATGATGGTGGTGTGGGACAGATACATGATGGTGGTGTGGGACAGATACATGATGGTGGTGTGGGACAGATACATGATGGTGGTGTGGGACAGATACATGATGGTGGTGTGGGACANCGCCTACACTCCATGGCCTAGTTACCGTCAAACAATTCCCTGCCGCAGGGAATTAATGCAATTCTTATTCTAATTAATTAATGCAATCATCAACGTGAAGAAGTTCTTCATTATTTTTCACCTCACTATATTTCATCTAATACTGCGTGTAAGAGTTGCACATTAGATTTACTTACCATTAAATTAGATTAAATACCAGCACATTAGATTTACTTATTTAAGAGTTGCACATAAGATTTACTTACCTCGACCATTGGCTGGAAGAGATGCTTAGGCGGCGCGTGCCAGCGAGCTGCAGGAGGCGCGGGAGCTGCACTTTTTTCTGCACAAAAGGCGTCGCCGGGACGATGTGAGTCCCCAGCAGGACGAGGAAGAAAGCAGGTCATGTCAGGGCACGTCCCCCCAGTGGGGGACTTGGGGCGAACTTGTAGAGCTAATGAAGTCTTCCCATCAGTTGGGGCTTCTGGGTGCGACTCCCTCAGGGTACCTCGCCTAACGCTCTGAAGGTCAGAGGTCCCTGATGACTTGTCTTCCCTGCACTCAGAGTGTCGGTGGGGAGCTTCTTCTCCTGTAGAATAATTGTTGTCTGCAATAAAAGCAACATCGACGCCACTGGCAACGCCTGAGTTGCCTTCAAGGCAACTCTTTGCTCCGGGACTGTTGTCATGCCAGTGGCCGTTTGCTCCGGGACTGTTGTCATGCCAGTGGCCGTTTGCTCCGGGACTGTTTTTTCGTGAACTTCTCTTCCGGAGACCGTTTTGTTGCCTGTTTTCTCGCTGTTTTCCATCAAGAAACGCCCCCAAGATCTCGGTGTCGCCCTCTGCATCGTGTTCGTTGTGGGGCACTGAGCACCCGCACGGCGGGGGCCAGTAGTGCAGACGCGCGGGCTGCTGCCACACAAAGTCTGCCCGCTTCCCTGCTTCCTCCTTTGACAGCGGGTATGACACGGGGTGAAATGGGGCTTTGGGGCCACACGGGGGAGGGATGTCAGGCTGGGGATCATTGAGATGAAGAATGATAGGCTGGGGACCATTGAGATGAGGAATGATAGGCTGGGTATACTGGGTGGAGGGCGCGTCAATAAAATCATTCGAGGGCTCAACGGTCGCTTCACTAACGTGTCCAAGTAAGGCGCTCGCAGCCAGGCTTTTTCTTTCATTATTTAAAGCGCTCGAGTTGTCGTTTGTTGCCGTATCCGCTGCGTCAGTATTTGTTGACATGCCCGAAGCGTTGCCATTTGTTGCCATGCCCGAAGCGTTGCCATTCGTTGTCACGCACGAAACGTTGCCATTTGTTTCCGTGCCCGAAGCGTTGCCATTCATGACAGTTGCTATAACTGGAATAGCTGAAGGCTGCGCAGGGTCGCCAGTTTGCAGGAGCTGTTGCCGCGCTTCGGACGGCAACAAGAACCACCTCAAAGCTTCAGCTTCAGGCCCCAGCATCATCTGGTCGGCTGAAGTGTCAGCAAATGACCGTAGCGCCTGAAACAGGAAAATCTAGCAATTATTTTCTGCTATTAAACATAAGGTAAGATATAATTTCTTAAGCTTTGATCTCGAGGTGAGTTGAACGGAGGTGACTTTAATTTAAGTTAAGCTTTGGACTCAAGGGACCAAGTCGTTGCATCAACGTACTAGTGCAACCTACAGCAACACTACAGAGTGGTGTAGTGCAGTGGTGTGGCGATACAGTGGTGTGGCGATACAGTGGTGTGGCGGTACAGTGGTGTGATGACCACATCAATACCACCAGCATCCTGCTGTCACCACAACAGCACCTCAATACCTGCTGTCACCACAACAACACCTCAATACCTGCTGTCACAACAGCACCACAATACCTGCTCAGGTACAGACAGCGCTCTGAACTAGCAGACTAGGCTACAGTCGATCACGACCAGCCGTAGTCGCGCAGCTCAAAGGACCTAACGAAACATCCATGACAGGACTTCGCAACGGCGCGCTACCTTGTAAATGCCAGTTATCCAGAGTGGGCCACATTAAAATGATACAAGTAAATAATTAAAAGCAAGTAAATTTGGGAACAAGTTTCCTGTCGTTGCCGCAGCTACAGGATGCCTGTTCAGGACAGCGTGTACGGACGCTGCAAGTGTCGCCTACGTACAAGCGCCATTGTAGGATCTTTGCAGCTGGCCGAGGTTCACTCTCGCGACTCTCTGTTCCAATGTAGGTGTAGCCTACCTACTAGACCACCACCACCACCAGCACAAACACCTGAACAATAGCACACAACCACCACCACCACATCTCTTCCAAACATCACCCACCAGTCCACCA